ATTTTATTCAAAAGATTCAGTGAGTAGCCAATACCCAACCTTTTCAAATTTTTCTTCTTTTTTTTTTTAAGAAAAATTTTTTTTTTTTTTTTTTTTTTTTTTTTTTTTTTTTTTTTTTTTTTTTTTTTTTTCATTTTGGTTTATCCACAGATGGAATCAACGCATTCTTCACCATCATTAATGAAAATGATCAAGTCATTGTGTGTATATGCTTACGTTGACTTAACCGACTCGCATTATAGTATTAGGTCAACATGTATTGGTTTACTATCATCGTTATTGCCCATCATTAATCAGATCGAAAAGAACAATGATCACAATTATAATGAGATATTGGAGGAATTGAATGAATTTAACATTCGAGATGTGATCTGCGGATTCGGTAGCGATCCCGATCCAAGAGTACGGAGTGTACGTCATCCTCTTCCCCAACGTCATTTCTTGATTCGATATGTTTGTGAGACATTTTGACGAAAAGTTCTTCCTCATTCTTAATCAGGCAGCGCTTAAGGCACTCCTTCAGCTTCATCGGCGTGGATGCAAGCTTGATATGTCGCTATACAATATGTGTGTGACGTGCTTGTCGGATGACTACGAAGAAGTTCGGATCGAAGCGCTGAGCTTAATATGGTGAGTGGATTAGTAGTGGATCATGTGCACTACTCTGCCCGCAAATTTTTTTAAAGAAAATTTTTATTTTTATTTTTTTTTTACTTTTACTTTTATTTTATTTTATTTTATTTATTTGTTTATTTATTTTTTTATCATTCTGCTCCATCGTTCAGGGTCCTGAGCACCATTCACCCCGAGCACATGATGAGTTATGCGTTGGATGATGGAAAAACTCAAAAAATTCGACTTCTCGATGATGCATTCATTAAAATTTGTGACATGGTTTACGACGGCTCGGTGAAGGTTCGAAGTAAGGTAAGGACGACATACTGTCACAGATCCGACATATTCCAAGTGTGAATCTTGGGAATTAACATTCCGTATTGCAAATCACGATTCATTTCAGAAATGCTCAAGTTGGCTCTTGTTTCCAAACAGGCTTGTACCATCATGGGAAGTTATCGTCAAGTTGGTGAATCAATTCTATTGGAGACTTTGAGTCAGAAAGTTATAAGTCACGGAAAAACCAGGAAATCGAATCAAGGATACGGAAAGAACAAAAGAGTAACGATTCATCATTTACATTTACACCATATTGCTGCCTAAATATATCTACAATTACTTTGTGTACATTTGTTGATTCTATAATCAAGTCCAGGTTCATACCAACCCCTGAAGGAGATTTAGATGTTGAATCGGAAGAGCTTCCCCTTTTGAAATCTAATGTTTGCGGGGCGTTCATTCATGGCCTGGAGGATGCATATCAGGACGTTCGGAATGCCGCCATTGGTACCATCATATTCATCTCGTCTTCTCACTTAATGTAAATCCCAACTAAATTCCCAAGTATTATCGCCACTTAGATTCAATCTGTCTACTGTGCATGTACAATCAAAAGTTTTCGAAAAAGTCTGTCGAATTTCTTGTGGGTAATTATATTGATGCCTGAATTTATTTTAATTTAATGTTTGCTCCCCTACTTTTATTTTAAGGCTATTTTGATATTACCCCCAAAGTCATGCTTCAATTATCCCTTTCTTTCCTACCTTTTATCCATCAGATATGTTCCAGGATGAAATTGATTCCGTTCGGCTAAATTCGATCAACAGTCTCTGCAAAATAGGGACCAAATACCCTATTGAACTTGATTCAGAATTGTTACAAATTACCGTCTGTGTGCTAAACGATTCAGATCCGGTGGTTCGAATGTCGACACACCGAATGTTAGGGTACCTTACCTACTCTCGCGTACTTCCATGATAAATTTATAATTCCCTTCATGTTGATACCTGTGACATATTTTTATTTTATTTTTTTTCGTTCAGAGTGGCGAAGCTAAAATCGCAAGATTTGATACCTCAATTTGTGGATTCCCTGATACCCAGTATGAACAAGTACCCAGAAGATCAGCTATCAATCTATCGATGCTTTAAGAACGTGGGATTGACGCACGGTGATTATATAGGTATGGCACTCCATGTGTTTTGACTGGCCCATCATCAAGTATGTTGAATTAATGCTTTTGTGTGTGTAGAGCATTACGTGCCCATATTTTTCAAGATGGAATCGACCTATATTTCCAGAGAGATTAAGCAGAATGATCCTCAACGTACGCCAATCTCCGATCTCATTTCTTTCACACGTGATGACATGTGATAACCCAATTTCGATGTCTTTAGATATAGGAAATTTGATACTTGTGTTTAATGCATCAACCACGAACCCCAAAATACTTTCCATGCTACCTGACTATGCAGGTCGGCATTACGAATACCTCCGCATCAAATTTCCTGATTGTTTTCCGGACGTTAACGTAAGATCCCGTTGTATCTTCTCACGTGGCAAATGAAAATGGTTAATGATCTATCTCAAAATTCAGATTTCGGGCGACTCGCCAATGCAAGTCGTTCAGATTGATCAATCCGACACCGATGGTAAATCAGCGATGTATACGTGTAAGCAGATGTCTCGCTCGTTCGATGCTAATTTTAAAATTCGTCTGGCTCGTTTAGATTATATGTTGTCGTTCATGGGAGCAACCTTAAAGGACATTCGATCACTGGGTCAACTGTTTAAACATCGAAATTTTAAGTCTGCAATTCGTGTGATAAAGTCTTGCAAAAGGTTTGAAATATAGGCGATTCTACATCTCGCTAGTGACAATCTTCCTTTAAAAACTTTATCATCCTCATTTCCCCCCGATCAATAGCAACATGGAATATATTTCGCATGTACCATCCTTATCCGGCAACGCTAAATTTTGCTTAAATTACTTGGAATGCTTGAGGCTGTTAATTAAGGTACAGACAACATTCTGACATTTACCGTGCCTCCGAACATTTTCTGCTCACGACCCGCCTTTTCTTTCCAAGGCCAAGCAACATTATATGGAAGTAAATTCCTTGTATACCGGGTCACACATGGCATCGCAGTTGATCACACTGTCTTACACCATGGAGTACGGTTATATTGGGCTTGATGCGTCGGTCTCGGATTTTCTGTGTCAAATACGAATAATTGCGCATCTTATTTGGTTATATAATTGCATGACGGAAAAGCCTGATAGGTATGTTCTATTTGTTCGTTCACGGCATTTCAAAATGATGGAATGAATGACGTATCGTGTTTTCTCGTTCAGCATCAATGGGATGTCCGAGAGGCAGCAAACATTGTTTCGAGGTTTTAGCAAACGCATAAAGGATTCGGAGAGGTAATTAATTTATTTCGGCGTGGTGTACACATCGAGATCTGACGGACGACGCTTAACTTTTTCTCCTTAGGAGATTAGAGAACCGATACATCCCATTGAGAGAGATCGGTAAAGCTCGGAGCAAACTTGAAAAGTTTCAGAAGAATCCCAACTTCGGGAATGCTACACAGCTATTCGATTACATATCGGTACGATTCAAAGTAAAGTACGATTAATACGACCATTGTCTGTTTATATTTATTGACTTGATTGCGATCCTTAGGAATTTAACCTTTTGGATATTGGAATTGGAAAAAATATCAGAGTCACCGAAGCCACCATAACACAACCAGCCTCAAACCCCACCGTGCCGATAGACTTTCAGTCACAATTTCCCCTTCCAATTAACATCGAGGCCGAAATCCACGACATAAATGATCCAGGCTCATTAGCAATTCAGGTTCTTAGTCAATCAAATGGTCTGTGCAAGCAAAGATGATTGATTTCCTTACCTGAATATACACCTCCCTTGAATTAAATATTAGGTCATATTTCCTGATCAATCCATACAACACTTTGGCTCACCATCCGGCCTGGCATCGACGCGGGATAATCATTATAAACTGAAAACACAAGTCGACATTTCACAAGCCGCGTGGACCGGTAAATAAATAAAAAAGAAAAAAAAAAAAGAATATATATATATATATATATAGTATATATTCTTTTCTTTTTCCTTTTTTTTTTTTTCCTTTCCTACTGTATCTTTCGAAACACAGGCAATTATTTTTGACCGCGTGCAAAAACTAACGACATTGCAGAATCCTCCTACATTCAACTCGGGATAGTCCGGGAGTATCAGCCTGATCTACCGGACGTAGATGCTTACATAACGCGCTTGGGAGCTGGCGGTATAATCAATAACGCTGTCTCTGGGTGCTCCTTGGCTCTCTCGGAGCAAGTAAAATTTTACATATGGCCCAGAGATTCGTCATCATATCGAATGCGTGTGTAAAAGTAGATCGAGAGTTCACGTGTATTTTCTAAAAGATTTAGTTTAGTGTACGATATTGTAAAAAAAAAAAAAAAAAAAAAAAAGGTTTGTTGTAGTTGTCGTGAAAATTTCTTTACAAAGGTTATCTAATAAAGTAAATGAATGAATCGCATGGTCTAACTAGTAATTGAGTTAATTTAACCATAATGGTAATTTTACAAGAGAAAACATGACTAATCCGCATGATATTTTTAATTTCGTCATCTGTAAGGAACGGTGAAATTCCGGCACCTTAGATTTTATGATTATTGTCCAACATGGTACGAGTGATGTTTCCAAAATCATTTGTCTTAATAATTTTATGTCAAAATAACATCTTTTTTAGCTACCAAAATGATTTGTTCCCATTTCAAACAACAAGGACCCGATTCTGAATGTTACGCAACAATGTTTCCCCCGTACATTATCTCAATACCTGTTCTGTAAACCACTTACGCAAGTAAAATTGGCTTAACTAATCTAACCAATACCTACTATTTGTTCCTGATAAGATAAAGGATTGTTAGAGGTTATTAAAATCTCCAATTATGGTCAGAAATTTTGTGCGGGGTTATGACGTACGGTAAAACGTAAAATATTGATTTTTCCGTTAGATCTTATCATCATGTATTGACCTATTGGCTTGGTCCCGTGGTAATAATCAATAAAATCATCTAGGATCGGGTCCTACCTGATAATCAAAATAATCAAAAAGACGAACTTATCTATATGATGATTTCAGAACATTATAAATAGATTTCGTTTAGACTTGGAACCTCGAACCGTTTTGCACACAAAACCTAGTTAGAAAAGTAATTTGAAGGATTATTCTTCTCATTCGGCCTCGAACTCTCTGATTCTACCGTTTGGACTAATAAAAAAAAAACATCGCCATGTGCGGAATTTTCGCAGTTTTCAACTATTCCGGAAACGTCAAGACTTTTCGCCCACGGTCTCTATTGCTTTCCAGAAAGTATGCTTCTCACCTATTCAAAGTTTTCTCTCAAGTTCTTGATTTGTCCTTGCTTCAAACTGATCGCGAATTTCTCTCGTTAATTCCCTCACACTTGATCTTTCCAGACTGCGACATCGGGGCCCTGATTGGAGTGGTTGCATAATTTCAGGGAATCACATTCTTTGTCATGAGCGATTGGCTATCGTTGGTCTTGGTAGGCAGCAGAACAAATGCATTTTCGATGAATGATCCTTGATCCGTCACTAACATTGGCAAACGCGAATATATATTTTTCCGTAGACACCGGAGCTCAACCACTTTACAACGATGATGAGACAATATTCCTTTCGGTGAACGGTGAAATTTATAATCACAAGATTTTGGCGAAACAGATAAAAGGAAATCCTCATTTCCGGACTCATTCGGATTGTGAGGTCATCCTTCACCTGGTAATGATACTTTTGTGAAAATCGTTGCGACAAATAACCTACTCATGCTGATTCAAATGTCCTGTTATTCTTCAAGTACAATGAGGTGGGGAAAGATGTTGTCAATTACCTTGACGGAATGTTTTCATTCGTCCTCCTTGACACAACCAAGAATCGGTTCTTAGCGGCGCGCGATCCCATCGGAATTACCACCCTTTACCAGGGATGGTCCTCTTCGTCCCCGGGGACCGTCTACTTCTCTTCGGAACTAAAGGCACTTAACGAGGAATGTGACAAAATAATCGCATTCCCACCGGGCCATATATATGACTCGGAAACTGGCGAGACAACGAGATATTATCAACCTAGTTGGTGGGATGAAAGTCTGATACCAACGACACCTATCGACTACAAATTGCTAAGAGAGTCCTTGGAAAAAGCTGTTCGTAAGAGGTTGATGAGTGATGTGCCGTATGGCGTCTTACTAAGCGGCGGTCTGGACTCCAGTTTGATCGCATCAATCGCATCGAGGGAGGCAAAAAAATTGGTCGCAGGAATGCGTAACGGGACAACGGATGACGAACGAAGAGAACGTGGGTATTCAATTTATAAACTGTGAAACTTCAGATAAGAAAATCACTAAAATCCTTTTTTAATCCCTATCTTTCCGCAGTTGGAACGGATAAACTTCACTCATTTTCGATCGGACTTCCGGGTTCTCCGGACTTGAAAGCTGCACGTTCAGTTGCAAAATTCCTCAAGACTCTACATCACGAATTCACCTTCACCATCCAAGAGGGTCTCGATGCGATCCACGACATCATCTATCACCTAGAAACTTACGACGTCACAACTATCAGGGCTAGCACTCCGATGTATTTACTATCGAGAAAGATCAAGGCCCTGGGCGTTAAGATGGTGTTGAGCGGCGAGGGAAGTGATGAGATCCTCGGAGGTAATGGATTAGGCGCATTTTCGCAATTCCTTAATATGTCCAATTAAAATGTTACTTAAAATTGTTTGTTCTCTCTTGTAGGATATCTGTATTTCCACGCTGCACCATCTGCCGAAGATTTCCACAAGGAGACGGTCACTCGTGTAAAGCACCTTCACACTGCCGATTGTTTACGTGCAAACAAATCGACAATGGCTTGGGGCCTTGAGGCGAGAGTCCCATTCCTGGATAAGGACTTCCTTGATGTTGCTATGTCGATTAATCCCGAAGAGAAGATGTTCAAAGAAGGGAAAATGGAAAAGGTAAGAATAATGTTCTTTTTTTTTTCTGCAAAGCTTATGGGAAACGCGAGAATGATAATTCTGTTTGTTTTTTCTCGAAAATAGTACATTCTTCGCAAAGCCTTTGATGTCTCAACGACTGGTGATCAAAATCCATATCTTCCCGACTCCATCCTTTGGCGTCAAAAAGAACAATTTTCTGACGGTGTGGGATACGGCTGGATCGATTCTCTCAAAGAGGCAGCGGAAAGTCATATTACTGATGATCAAATGGCAGACGCGGCTCAACGCTGGCCAAAGGATACGCCTCGTACCAAAGAAGCCTATTGGTACAGAGAACAATTTGAGAGTTGGTTCCCACAAGATGCCTGTACGTCTAGCGTTAAACTTTGGATTCCAAGGAAAGATTGGGGTAAGTTTTAAAGTCATTCATAAATTTCACCATCCATTTTTAAACCTTTACTAACGTGCATTTCTTCAAATTCATGATCTTACTTAAAGGTTGTTCCGAGGACCCGTCCGGACGTGCTCAAATTGTTCACAATTCTGCATACTCCAAGGACCAACCAATTCTGAGCTAGATTTTATATTTGGGTGATTCTGTAAAAATTTTATTTAATTTTAAAATCGGGCATACATTTTTGGTGCATATTTTTATTCTCTTAATGTAATTTTTTTTTCTTGTATTTTTTATTTTATTTTTTTTCTTGAAAATAAAGTCATTGAACACATTTAAGATTGATTTCATAAGAATTAACAAGTGGGTTGCCTTTGGCAAAAATTTACAAGCTGTATAATTAGATCTTAATTAAATGTTCACATTTAGTTGGATCTTTTATTTTTTATTTATTATATTATTTATTTTAACATAATTTTTATAATACAAATCATATTTTTAACCTGTTCAAATATTTATTAATATAATAAAATAACCAAAATTAATTAATAAAAATTTTAACGAAAATTTCTTTCTGTTGATTCTCTGATCACACACAAAAAAGAAGTTTATTTAAAAGTTTTTTGATTTTTTGATTAATAAAGTCTTAATATTTATTTTAAAATAATTTGAAGAGTATTTTCAAGGATCATTTCTAATTTTTTTCTTGTTTACAAATCTTTCTATTCAAAAACTTGATTTTTAATAATCAAAAGAGTAAAATAAACATTTTTACTATCAATAATAAGAAAATTTTTTAAAAAAAAAAACTAGTTATAAAGTATTTAAAGATTTTTTACTTTTAAAATGAATTGGTTATAAAGATTTTTTGTAATAAATGAATTTATTTTTTTTTTTGCTAGTTGCTTTGGTATTTTTAAAATTTATACTTTCATGATTTTCTAAAAAATTTTATTTATTTTAGTTTGATACTGAATCAAAGATAATTGGTCAATATAAAGTATATTAATTTTAAAAATATTAATAAATTTCTATTAATTATAATTATATATTTTAGTAATATTATTTATAATAAAAAAAAATTCATAAAAATGTTTTTTTTAACTAAGTAAATTCTTTAAATAAAATAATTATAATATTAAAAAAATAATATCAGGAAAATTTTTTGACAAAGATCTCTAAAGATTTTTGGATATAAAACTCTAGAGGCATTACACCATTGTTAGAAGTCTCCGGAATGGAAATTTATATATACAACTCTGGAGAATTTTGAATGTTTTAAATTGTAATAAAATAATTTCACATTATTATTAAAATATTTATTTTTAAAAA